TTTATCAAGGCGACCGCTACCCATTATTAGTTATCAAGATTGCTGATTAACCTTAGTGCGGTACATGACAATGGTTCTAACATGCAACAGAAAAGTTGATATGAGAAATGTGCATATAAGAAGAACGAATTACACATGCGCGCGCGCGCGCACGCACGCACACACATATATATACACAAAACTTAGTGAACTTACTGATTAATCATCTCTACTATATGCGGTTTATTGGTAGGATCACCACCTCTAATAGGGTCGAGATACCATACTCTCCCTATAGTTGGATTGATCAAAAGTATCATCCAATGCCCCCTATGATAATGATTACAATTAGGAAGTGTCATAATTTAATTTTGAAGAAAGTAAAGTATCGTAAAATGATTTACCCTTCACAATAAGGTGCCATGAATATTTTGTTCTTATTAGTGCCACGTTGCTCGAAGTATTTAGAAAGCTTCTGAGCTATTTCTAATCCTTACTTAGGACTCATTGTCTCGTGGCCATAAGGAGAGACTAAGTAGGGACTGACGAGTATAACCCTCTCCGCTACATCTCTCCTGGTAAGCATGGTGATGTACAGGTTTCTTAAATAATGTCAACATAAATTGATCAATAAATGACTAAAATATAGATATTGGTAAACATTTAATACAAGGTTTTAGAAACATATCTCATATATAAGTTACACAAAGTAGTAGTAGCCTGTGCATGGTTGAATAAGTCACTCGAAACCTCATTGTTGACTTGATCGACAGACTCTGGATCTCCATACATTGTTGTAGGGAAGGGGAGCATTACTCCTTCTTGCGTCTCTGCATAAGTCTTAAGCAACTTTCGGTGTTTGTCAAGTGTGACTAGTTGATGCTAAGGTGTTGATTGAGAGGCTTTAGGCACATAGGTTTGAGGGCGAACCTTCAGTGCATTATTGGGAAATGTGATGGACTCCTTGGATTTTTCAACGGAGTTCTTATCATTTCCTCTCTTTCGCTTATTATTCGCAAGTACCTTCATAACCTCTGGTGCTTTCTTGGCCACAGGCTTATCAACAGGCTCATTTTTCTCTCTCTCTCTCTCACACACACACACAATTAGAGATCAACTACAAATAAATTTCAGTTATGAATTTAGATGTTATACCTTTGGGGACGGCGTTGAAATACGTATAAGATGAACCGGCCATGCTACAAAGCTTCCAATTGCATCTACTACTATCCTTGCATCTTTAGTGGGGTGAGGTAGATCATAATTAGGCTTTTCAGCCGTCTTCAAAGAAACCTTGACTGTCCCTTCAAGGAGAATCTCATTGTGAAGCATGATTTGGCTAGCAATATTGTACATTCGTCCCAGTGCAACCAAACTGCCATCCTCTCCCAAACAATCAACATCAGCCTCACCCTAAAAGACAAAATCATTACATAATATGAATAATATTATCATGAATAAGGCTAGGAAAATTAATAATATTACCTCAGGTAGGAGCTGAGATGGGATTGTGTAACTGTCATTCATATTAGGGCTAGCGTCACTCAATGGAAGCCCTAACTTATGCCGATTCAACAACATGTCAATAAGTCTAGATTGCTCTTGTATCTGCTGTGACTATGCTTGTATCTGTTACTTCTATTCTGCTAGCTCTTGCCTCAGTTCTTAAACCTCAGCAGAAGAAGTAGTCTTTTTATAATGCTTGTACCCCTCTCCAAAGTATTCTTTCTTTGTGACACCAAAGCCGACGCCTAAAACACGACCAGGATGGTCAATATTCCCCAATGCCTTCTCCAAGATATCCTCATCAGCAGTAAGAGTGCCTGCTGATGCCTCCTGAGTCAAGCTCTCCTATGAAGCAATAAAAAGTAAGGTAAATGAGTAAAAACAAATAATTAATAACATTATATTATTAACACTTACTATTGTATCAACAATCGCCTTTGTTTTTGGATTATCAATATTGCCTTGTTTGTTTTTTCGAGCCTCGGCCCAAATTTTGCCACGAGATATAGAACCCTCTGACACCTGCTCTTTTTCAATCAAGGCCTTTTCAACACCCGCATACCCCTTACGCCCAGCCTTATAAGTGTATTCATTCTTCTTTGCCAACTCTTTCTTTTTGGTTCTTAATGCCTTTAAAAACACAAAACATGATAAATAGGTTGAAATAAATGCCAACAAAAGCAATAAAATTTTGATAGAATAACAAAAATAATACCTTAAACTCTGGACTATGGCATGAGTCAACAAAATCTTTCCATTCATTCAAATTTACAATTGGCCTAATAAGGGGAGGAACTGTGTCTTCAATGCCCTCTATATTGGGGTTCTACAAGAATTTACAAGAGACAAAACTTCTAAATGCTCGAAGGGCTGCCCCGGCCTTTTGTAGGACATACTTCTTATGCCTTTCCTCAATCTCAAATCCTGACTGCAAAATAAACAAGTGAACTTGTAAGAAGAACATATATCATAAACAAGTTTAAAATAATAATCAAAGTGATAATATCTTACAGTTATAGTATTCCATACAGCATCCCTCATTGCGGGAGTTGCATTCCTCCATGACTTTAAATTGATAGGCACACAAGACTTCGCCGCCACCCTGATATAACTAATGAAATTATTACTGTCAACTACTTGATTTTTATTATTCCACTTAACAGTAAACTTCTTGCCTTCATTTCTTGCTTTTGTCACCTACTCCATCACAACCAACCCTTTCTTTAGTTGTTCTTCCTCCTTACTAGTCACATTTTGCCTGCTATCATCATTTTGCTTACTAGGACTACTAGATTTAGATCCAGTATCTAGACGATCACCCTTAGTAGCCATTTACCTGTGAAGACATCAATAATTAAGATTAAATAAAACAATAATAATTCAAACAAGAGCAACATCTTAACAAGATTAAATAAAAAATATCAAAAAAGTAAGTCAAAAATAGTCATTTACCTATTTATTTCATTCTTTTCCTTTTTCTTGTCTTAATTACTTTTTTAACTAATTCTTTCTTAACTTGAACAGTTTTCTTCTTCAGTTGAATTGATTTCCCCTTCTTAGAAATCCAAATGCCCTCATTGTGATCATGTCTTATGTAGAAAGCATTATCTTCAATATTGTCTAAGCCATCATCATTTTCAAATGACGTCCTATGAAATGGATCAATATCAACTTCATCATTTTTTCTGTTTTGCTCATTTTCATCACTTTCTACAGCTTCCATTTCTTCAACTTCCTTGTTACTCCACAAAACAACAGACCATTCCTTATCAGCAGGATTATTGACATAAAAAACTTGTTTGGCTTGAGACGGATAAATGAAAGGATCTTCTTTATACCCTTCCTTCTTTAGATTCACTCTAATCAACCTAAAGTCATCGACATCTAACCTATTATTATTTTCAACCCACTTGCAACCAAAGATCAAAACTCGAAAGGAGATATAATCCAACTCCCAAATATGCTCAATTACCCTAAAGTAATGCATTCTAGCATAGATGGGTTTTTTATCTTTCGTACTGGAAATGTGCATGCCATCAGCTATAGTAGATACACCACTATTTTGCATCATACTTCGATCATCGTGTTCCTTTGTGTAGAACTTATACCCATTGATGATATAGCTCGCGTAAGAGAGGACATGTTTGTTCGGTCCTAGTGATAACCATCTCAGTCTATTAAGAACTAAATTAGGATCAGCATTATACTTCCTTTCTATATGCTCTTTCAACTAGCGTATAAATTGTTTATTATGTAGTTTGGTGATCCAACTATCTAATTGATAAGGGTTCTGCCTCTTAAGCTCTGCCTGGTGAATCTTAGCATACTCATCAACCTCTGGAGAGTTGTATAGCACAAAAAGGTGTACTTTTTCCTACTGGTCACTTGAGATAGTAATAACTTTTCTTCCTGTTGTCCTTTCTATACGTTCTTCACCAATAACCCTTGAATTCTTTAAGTATTGATTGCAAAAGTAAACAGCCTCTTCACTAATATATCATTCAACAATGCAACCTTCTGGTCGACTTTGACTTTTAACATAACCTTTCAATACTTTCATATGACGCTCAAATGGATACATCTATCTCAAATAAGCAGGACCACATAATTGTACCTCTCTAACTAAATGAACTGTTAGGTGGACCATTATATCAAAGAATACAGGAGGGAAAAACATCTCCATCTCACACAATGTTTGCACAATTTGACTTTGCAACTTTGGCAACTTGTTGGGGTTAATTACTTTACTACAGAGACACTTGAAGAAGTAGCATAACTTTGTAATTGTAGCTCACACATAATCAGGTAAAATACCACGTATAGCCACTGGAATAAAATTCTCCATCAAAACATGACAATCATGAGTCTTTAAACCCTTTAGCTTTAGATCCTTCATTGAAACAAGATTCCTAACATTTGAAGAGTACCCATCTGGAATCTTGATTGCAGCAAGAAACTCACAAAAACTTTTCTTTTCTTTTCTAGACAGTGTGTGAGCCGCAGCGTGAAGAAATGTACGAGTTCCTTTCTCTTGTGGTGCCAATTCTTCTCTTATCCCCATCACAACCATGTCTAACCTTGCATTAATGCCATCCTTGGTCTTTCCTAGAATATTAAGCAATGTTCCAATAAGACTATCACAAACATTTTTCTTAATATGTATTAAATCAAGGAAGTGTCTGACATTCAAGGTCTTCCAATATGGCAACTCAAAGAATATAGACATTTTCTTCCACCCATTTTTTCTAACATGCTTGGCAAACGATTTACCAAATTCAATATCAACATCTTTTACCTTCTCAAATAGTTCCTCACTAGTCAATTGCTTTGGTCGCCTTCTTTCTTCTGATTTTCTATCAAATGATTTTTTCCAACGACGATATCGATGCTTGTTACCCAACCATCTACGATGCCCAAGGTACACGTTCTTCATACCATGTTGCAACCTCACTGAATGTGTGCCTTCTTCACAAATAGGGCATCCAAGTTGTCCTTTAATGCTATATCCCGATAGATTACCAAAAGTCATTAATTGTACTAAAAAGCATAGCTCTCAAATTGAATATCTTTTCTCTGTAGGCATCATATACCTCTACACTTGTTTCCCATATTAGCTTCAAGTCTTCAATAAGTGGTTCCAAATAAACATCTATATCATTTTCAGGTTGCTTTGGCCCTGAGATTAGCAAGGACAACATAATATACTTTCGCTTCATGCAAAGCCAATGAGGCAAGTTATAAATGACCATCATCATAGGCCATGTACTGTGGGTACTACTCTGCATTCCATGTGGGTTCATCCCATCGGTAGACAATGCAAGACGTAAATTTCTATCTTCTTTTCCAAACTCAGGGTACTTCCAATCGAACCTTGTCCATTCAGGAGAATCAACTGGATGCCAAACCTTGTCATCTTTAATTCTGCCATGTGCATGCCATGTTAGATTCTTTACCTCTTGACGTACGCTATACAAGCGTCTAAATCTTGGAATAATAGGAAAATACCACATTGCCTTCTTTGGACTCTTCCCATTCTTCATATAATGTGATGCCTCACACTTAGGACAATGGGTTAGCTCTTCGTATTCATTCCTAAACAAGATGCAATCATTAGGGCAAGCATGTATCTTCTTATAACTCAGGCCAACTGTGCGTAACACCTTCTTTGCATCATATAGCCGACTTGGAAGCTTGTTATTCTTTAGTAGCATTAGTCTAATTAGAGAAAGCAAGCTTGAAAAGCTAGTATCACTCCACCCACTTGTAGCTTTCAAGTTGTACAATTCTAACACAGCAGATAATAAAGTGAACTCAGTACAACCTTCATACAAAGGTGTCTCCGCATTAATTTTTAACTTCTCCAATTTCTCTGGAAAATTTTTGAGTTCCCCTTCCATCTCATTAGCTAATTCTTCAAAATAGCAATCAGCCTTATATGCACTTGTGTCAGAATCTGGTGATGATGAATAACTTTTCATATATGCCCAGCTACTATTATTCACATCTTCAGGTATCTCTCTATGCTTTACCCAACATTTATAACTTTGACCAATTCCATACTTAAATAAGTGAAGTTCACATGTTTCAGGAGAAACTGACTTCACATTACCATAGCTTAAACAAGGGCAAACAATTCGCCTACAGTCTTCTGCATTATTTACTGCAAACTTAATGAAGTCTGCCACCCCATCCCAATATTCTTTGGATAGACGGTTAGCAGACATCCACTCCTTATCCATAATTAATGCCCTTGTTTAAGTAAGATAATAAAGATGGAAAAGCATTCAGTAAGTACAAGTTGATTATTTTAAAAATTTAGACAATTTTAGCAGCATGGCAGCTTAAATTCAATGTTCCTCAAACCTTATTCTCTATTTATACTAATTTAATCAAACTAAATGTTAAACTACTTTAAAGAAAGCTCAAACTTGTTCTAAATAATCGCAAAATAAAAATTTAAAAAAATTTCAGCAGCATAACGGCATGAAATTGAGCACTTCCCAGGCTTAATGCCCTCTTTTCACAAATCCAATATTAAAATAACAAAAATTTCAAATCAAAATATACATAGATCAATCTCAAGTCAATTTTAGAATAAAATACTACTACAACTAAAAGATTAAGCAACCATGTAATATAATAACCATAATATATAAAGAAACAAGTCCAGTTTCCAAGCTCAATAAGGGGAAAAAAGGAATCAAATAACTAGAAAAATACAATATTTAAGAACAAATTGAAAAGCATTGGGTAAAAGTGACAAGGAACATGTCTACTAAGTCAAGACATATATCTTATTGTTAATAAAAATTTAATTTATCTTAATAAACTAAATAATCACAACCTAGCACACATCGAACTGAATATTCAATAATCACAAGCTAACCATATATTGAAAAAAATTAGTTTATCTTAAAAACACGTTTACTAAATTTTGTGCAAAACTAAATATCTTAAAAAATTAGTTTATGTAAATGAAAAACATGTTTACTAAATTTTATTCAAGGTTGCCCCACTATATATTAAACCAAATTTAAATAATTAAAAGCTAACCAAACACTCTGATCTTCTCTCTTATCTTTCATAGAAACAAACTACTAGGGGCATGAAACAATAAAATCAATCAACAAAATATCACAATTAAATCTCAACACAGCCCAGCAAATTGTCACAAACTCAAACCAATCCAGTTAGCTAATCTAAATTCTAAGTTAAAAATTAACGTTATCAACCTCAAAAGCTTCCTCTACACAATGAGATAGCAAATGAGATAGAGAAATACCTTAAAAATCACAAAATAATAGTGTGAGGCTGCTCTTGATAGAAGAAAGGATGAGATAGTGACAACTTCAGGGGAAGATGGCGGACTAGGAGGATTGAAGGCTAGTCGATGGTGAGAGCGAGAATAAACGTATCTCACCTACTCTTGAGAAGAGAAATAGGAAGAGCAAGAGGAAGAGCAAGACGAAGAGGAGCTCACGAGGAAGAGGAAAAGGAACAGGGTTTGGCTGAAAATGGGTCTTGAAGGAAGAGGAAAATGGAGGAAATGGGTGGTAGCTGTTACTGACCAAAAATGGCTCTCTGACTCTCTTTGCTTGCAACTGTGCTGATGCTCAGAGGAAATGAGTGTTGGCTGGATATAGGTCTTGGAAGAAATGGGTTTGCTCTGCTCTCATCTCACTCTCGCGCGCATCCCTGTGATAGCTTTTCATTTTCGCTGACGGAGGGAAGAAGCTTTAGAAATCAATATATTCAATGGTTAGATATTTCTAACCGTTGAATATATTGATATACCCAACGGTTGAATGTCAAATCGTTGAGTATTAATATCAAATACTCAACGGTTATTTGACATAACCATTGGGTAATATAATATATATATATATATATATTATATTCTAATATTATATATAATATATATATATATATATTATTTTGCTAAAAAATATATATTCTAATATTATATATAGTCGAATAATATAATATAATATATATATATATATATATATTATTTTGCCATATATACATACATACATATATATAATCAATGTTTAAATCTAAATAAATGTTGAGTATCAAGATATTAAAAAAATAAAGATTAATTGACTCAAGTAGTATATATATTCAACGGTTTAATTTTAATAACTATTTAGTATTTAAATCAATACTCAACGGTTTTTAAATTTTAACTGTTGAGTAAGAGGTGGAGTGTAATATTCTTATATACTCAACAGTTATATTAATAAACCGTTGAATATTATCATGCAATATTAAACAATTTTTTAAATAATCGTTTAATATGTAATTTTCTCTTTCTCGCCTCCCAATATATAACATTTTTTATTATAACCGTTGAATAAATGCTGTTATATATCTAAATTTTTGTAGTAGTGACCCTTCTATCACAAGAAAGGGTTACCCATAGATTTTCACAACAATTAATGTCCCTGCTCTCTTCATTTCCTTAAATCATTCTCGTAACATGACAATCTACGAACAATTAGTGTTATTAGTCAATTAACAAAACTAACCACAAGGACTAATTATCATTTAAAACAACATTTAGCTATTCTTTTCTTTTCAGTTAGTCAATTTATATTCAATGCAATCCAATCACCTTTTTCTATTACTTCTGCCAATCCTATCATACCTCACTCCAATTTTCATTCCTTTTTCTTACAGTTTTAAAGTCTATTTAAGCTTACGATCTTAAAGCTTTATCGTCTAACTCTAAACTAGTAGCAAAACCCTAACTTGATTCTCAAGAACATTTTTTATTACTAAAGGGTAAGAAAAAAATCCCTTAAAACTTCCTGATTCAATTTCTTTATAACTTATACTAAGAGAAATTAGGGTAAAATCGAAGCTAAGCACAGTACAAAACTTCCTCCTCAATCAATCTAGCAAAATAGAAAACTAGATTAGTTAACAAAGAAATCAAGTTTAGTTGCAAGCTACCAACTTTTCAACCTTCTTCTTTTGCAATACTCTTTCTGTTTGTTTAATATATCACGCTCTTTTTTTTTTTACTATTTCTTTCTTTTTTTGCTTGGGATTCATGCCATTTTCTCTATTTTTTTTCTACAACTTCTTTTTTGCTTGACAATGAAAATTCAAATAAAAAAATGCAAGGTAGCAACTTTTTTTGTTGGTGAATTTTGCAACACAAGAACACAAAGAACAATGAGAGAGATTAACAAGAGAGGAGAAGAGGTAGAAGACAACTGGAAGAAAGAGACATGATACAAAGAAGAACAAAAGGGGAAGAAGAAAAAAAAATGGAAAGGAAATACAAACTTGATGATAGCACAAAATCCTATGCTTTGATACTAATTAATGCGGAAATCCCTACTTTCCCCTAAAAGTAAACCCTCTAGATTCCAACGGATCGTTGCATAATTGTCAAGTACAATGCAAACAAGAACAAAGAACAGAGTAGAAGTAGGAAATTAGAAGCAACAATGAATAAGAAATGAAAATAAGAAACCAAACAAGATAGGTTTGGATAGTTGACCTAAGAGGAACCTGTCTCTTGACCCTGTCTCTAATAGTCTAGGATTTAGAACCCAAGAGGCACCTGGCTCTTAAACCCTAACTCTAAGGGCACCCACAATAGAAGACCAATGCTTTGATAATCCCAATCTTTTCAAGCACTTAGAAGGCATAAGAAAAGATCTCACAATATATGAATATTCAAAATTTCTATTAAACTTTTCCTTTAAAACCAATTACATAAGGTTTATATATATGTAACTAAATGAAAACCCTAACCCAGAAGGAAGGAGGTAGATGGCACCAATTATGGCAAAAGAAATAGAAAAGTTGACCAAAGTTATAATAGAAATCAAATTTAAAAACTTTCCTAAATGATGGTACCTTTTAGGATCCTACCTAAAATATAATACTTAAATTGCAAGTTTGCAATCCAATTAAGGTAATAACTAAAGATATTAAAAATAAATGCCTAAATGAAAATAGGAAACTAATCTAGCAATCAATGCTTGCTTGACTAGTCGAAGATCTAATTTGACACTCCAAGTTTGCATGTGACAAATCTTCTTGGATGCTCCAAAGAATGAAGATGGCGCCTTAGGCCTCTTCATTGGGTATGGGCTTGGCTTCAATAAAGTCTTGAGTCAATCAATTAAGAGCCTCCTTTATAGCTTTAGTTCTAGCCCTAGTTATTGGGCCTCTAATCCCTTATAATGGATCTTTAAGCATGCCTTTCTTGATATGTTTAGCTTGAGCTCCTCCTTCTTAAACCTCATGCACGCCTCCTTGCTCCTTAGCTAGGCCATCATTACTATTAGATTGAGCCATTACTGACTATTAATAAAAGTCAAGGACAAGCATTGCAACATAAAATTGTAAGTTTAAGATCCAAAAGTCTTGCGCTATACTTTTATAAATTTCCTAGAAATATGTAATTCTAAAAAGGTAAATTCATTTAGGATGTATGTTCTTGCAACACTTTGAGCACACAATTCTAATGTTTTCCTGCCTTTTTAGTATACCAAAATTTTTTGTATTGGCCTTTTATATATTTTATATTTCATTTCCCTAATAGTGAGATTTTGTTTCTACTCTTAGTTTAAGGTGATTTTTTTTGGATACTTTATAATTGACTTTTTTTGTGGGTGCTCTTGGTTTTAGGTCTATCATTAATGATAAAAAGGATAGTTAAAATTAAGTTAATTATAAGATTTTTTTGTCATTTTTTAAGTTATTCACACAGCCATTGCCCATATGTTTTTTTAGGCATGTACAAATAGTGTACATAGTACATTTCTTGCAAAATTTAAAGTTGCTCAGCCACTCATGCATGTACAGCTTTACATGACATAGTTTAGTTGAAAGCATGTTTTAAGTGTCCTTTCCATATAATGGAGACAAGCTTAAATTATTTCTTATTTGATTATATGTAAAAGGCATGCTTTTACTATTATTTTACATGCTTTTTTTCCTTTTTAACTTTTGGATTAGGCTGTAATAGAGGCAAGGAAGGCACGAGTGATTCATTTGTTAAAGATCTAAACATTCAAGTTTATTGTTTTTAATATATTAGTTCATTATGTTTTTGTTAGTTTAAGGGATGACTAATAAAACTTAAGTAGTTAGATTAATTTCTATGTACGAAATATCTATAAATTTTTTTATGTCATAGCAGGATGAATGTTAATTATTAAGATATACTAAACACTTATGTTTTAATAACATGAGTATTATAATAGTATGGGTG